TATTCCTTTACCAGAGAATAATTAAAATGTTAAAAGGTTTAAGTTAATTGAAAATAATTTAAATATTTAGCGTCCTTTATAATCAAGAAGAAATATCAAGAAAATGGTTTAATTGTCAAGAGAAAGGTTAGGAAATTGGTTGAAGAGGGTCAAGGAAACGCTAAATTAGTACAAGAAATTGGTTAAATGGTCAAGAAAACACATATTAAGTCAAGAAAATGATTAAATGGTCAAGGAAACACATAATAAGTCAAGAAAATGATTAAATGGTCAAGAAAACACATAATAAGTCAAGAAAATGATTAAATGGTCAAGGAAACACATAATAAGTCAGGAAAATGGTTAAATGGTCAAGAAAAACTTATTCTAGTCAAGAAAATGGTTACTGGTCAATGAATTCTAAGCAAAAAAAAGTAGCTAATGGTAAATTAAACACTTAAAGTTAAGAAACTGATTGAAGACGGTCAAAGAAACGCTAAATAAGTCAAGAAAATGGTTAAAAGGTCAAGAAAATGGTTAATGGTCATGGAATCGCATATATGGTAAGAAAACCAACGGAAACCAATGTATATGGTTTACAAGAAAATAAGAGCAAAATATAGCGTAAATGGAGGTTTACTAAGAAGTTGTATAAATAATATGATTAAGCAGCAATATTTCTGCAAGTCATCAATACCATAAATAGGCATTTTAGAATCAGTTATTTGCCATGAGTTAGAAATATTTTCAAATAAAACCTACGATAAATATCTTCTTAACATCTCAGATAAAAAACATCTATCTCTGAATTGTATGTAAATTCATAGATTGTTAAATACAACATTGTACTTGAACATATATTTTTGTGTCTAACTATCTGGTTGAAGCTCAAACCATAATCGACACAAAATAAACGAAAACACCCAATTTTGTATTGTTTGATCATTAGATTTTATCGTTATTAAAAGCAGAGTTGATATAATTTCAAGCGAGCGTTTATTAAAAGAATTACATCCCTGATTGATATCGATATCCTGCAAACCTTTTCTGAGGAAATATGAAAGAAATAGTTTTTTTTTGAAAATTTATCATTCTTATTTGTGAATCGCGAATTATACAGCGGAGACAAGAAAGGAAAATGAACAGAATTCATCACTTTTAAAGACATTTCTTTTAAAAAGACAAATCATAAGTATTTAAAAGCTACTTAAGATCGAACGTTGATATATATACATATATCCACATTTCATTGTGAGTCGGATCGTTCGAAAAACTCTGTGGTCGGACCAGATCACACCAGCAGTCCCTTTAAGGTGGGGGGGGGGGGGTTAAAAAAGGGCAAGCTTTTGAAGGGAGAATAAGGGGAAGGGGGGTTGAAGAGATGGTTATGATCCCGTTTCTGTTAGATCTACAGGGTTGTAAAGTATAACAATACATGAATATAATACTAGAGGAGCCGACACCTTTATCTAGGTTTAGAACCTCATTCAAACAATCTGTTCCAAGCTGTCAACACAACCTGACCGACAAGCAACAGGTCACCCCAGGACTGCAGAGGGGGAACAGCCCCCAGCCCCCCCCCCTCAAGGTCTAATGAAGGGGGGGGGGAAATTGCGTCACAACTAACAGTTAGTAAGTAAAAAATGTGTGGATTGTCCATTATAATATTGTTGTTACCAGGGTTATTTTGTGTTTACTCAGGAAAAATTTTATTTTGTAACTTAAAAAATTACAAAAATCGTAATCTGACGGATGTGTATGTAAGAAAAGTCAGAAAATTTCAACAGCCTCAGACCAATACTTTTTGAGTTATGTAAAAAAAACTACAGGGGGGGGTCAAATTGACCCTTCCCCCCCCAGCAGGAATAGGGTTAAAAGATGTAAACATTCAAAAATACCCCAGAACTTCAGGCGCTCATGGGGCTCAGTAGCATTATGCTTAGTTTGCGAATGCCTAGTTTTTAAATGCCTAATTTGTAAATGCCTAGACAACATTTTGCCTACATTTCTGAATGCCTAGTTCATATTGCCTAGTTCATGAATGCCTAGTTCATGAATGCCTAGTTCATGAATGCCTAGTTCGTAAATGCCTAGTTCATGAATGCCTAGTTCATGAATGCCTAGTTCATGAATGCCTAGTTCATATTACCTAGATAACATTATGCCTAGTTAACATAATGCCTATAAAACATTATACCTAGATAACATAAGAGTGCATTGAATGCCTAGACAATGCATTCAACTAGAGAGTAAAAAAATACAACCATTTTTGCAAAAATCCGCAAACACCTTTCTGGAAATGTGAAAATTTTCTTCCTTTTTTTCTTTATATTACTGCAATTAATCTATCAATACACAATAAAATATGTAAAAATTGTTTGAATTTTCTAGTAGCATTTCTTTTTTACTTGAATATGTCTAGACATTCAATTCGCTCTAGTGTATCTAGGCATTATGAAATATAGGCATTCAGAAATATAGGCATAATGTTATTTATGCATTTATTAATCTAAGCATAGTGTTATCTAGGCATAATGGTATCTGGGCTTTACGAACTAGGCATAGTGTGATCTAGGCATAGTGAACTAGGCATTCACGAACTAGGCATAATGTTACTGAGCTGCTCATAGTGCCTCCATTTCTAAAAGTGGTTTTCTTATTTGTTTCGAGATGTTCAAGTTGTACATATTTTACTTTCGAAGATAGAAGTAAGAATGAACGTGAAGAATATCGTGGCATGCCATGTCAAATAATTCTTCAATAATTACTCCTTTTATCAAATATTTCAGGTTCTCCTTATTATTTCATTAAAAAAAGCTTAGTCGGACTGAGTTTCAAAACTGAATTCTGTTTTTAAGCAAAACCAACTAGATTTGCTCTCTTGAGTTAAAAAAAAGTGATTTTGATAATTGTTACATATTTATTTATTAGATACATGAAATAAAGATCATTATTTAAAGTTATCACAGATTTATTTTGATATAATAATTTAGAAAACATAGTTTAGAAAACTAGTGTTTCTCCGGAGATATATTCCGGACTCTGGGGATCGGAGAGGGTAGGAGAGGGGAAACAGTTCTCCGAGTCCTGGAAGGAAAAGTCGGAGTGTTGTTGAGGAGGGGATGGGAAGGGATTGTATTCTCCGTAAAACTCCGGTTGTTCTCCGCAGTAGGAGCTGTATCCGAACCTAGAGTTGTAGTTGTAAGCAACTGCATTGGGTGGAGCAAACATAGGATGCAGAACTCTCTGGAATCCTCCTCCGGCCATAAAACGGAGCTGGTGCATCCTCTTCTCTTTGCTTCTCTTGTTCTGGAACCAGACCTGGATAACTCTCATGGTTAGTCCTGTATCCTTGGCAAGCTGTTCTCTCATCATCCTGGTTGGTTTAGGAGATGCATTAAATACATTCTTCAATACCTCAAGCTGTTTAGAGGATATATTCGTTCTAGGTCCTCTTCTTTTTCCGTCCTTGCACTCCTTCTTCTCATCGTCTTTGTCTTCGTTCTCCTTGTCCGATTCGTCCTCGTCTTTGTCCGATTTCTCTGGGGAATCTGGGAAGATTATGTCCTTGTTGTCCTCAATTTCGTCCTCGTCCTTAATTACGCGTTCATACCCCCTCATGGAGAAATCTTCGATGGTTCTGATAAAGTCCTGCTCACAGAGCAGGTTTCCTTGATGATCCTGTCCCATCTTCATCCCCTTCTCCAGTACCTTCTTACAACAGGAGCAGGAGAAACACTGGAGATGAAACTTCAAATCTCCGATTCTCTGAACATCTTCGTCCTGTTTGAATCCATGTGTGCAGACGATGCATCGAGGAACGATTAATTTCTCATAGTCCTGTTTACAGTACACAGCTCCGTCCAGCATAAAGCAGGTTGAGGTGAGAGGGTCGGAGCAAGACGCACATTTCATGCAGGTTTCATGCAGATGATATTCTCCAGCCTTGACCAAGGATTGATCAAGGATTCTTGATTTACACGAGTAACATTCCATTATGTCCTGTCTAGTTCAAGGTTTAGGTTCAACTGATTATCCGACAGGACGGATTCTTCAACTCAGTTCTCCTAATCCTTTCAACCAATCAGAGCTCATCCTGGATCCCGGGGGTGGGGCATCTATAGGGAGAGAGAGAGAGAGAGTATAGGGGACATGTTGTTGAGTAAAATCGTTATGGGGG